ATCCTCAAACCACCCTCCCCCCTAACATTAAGGACCTTGCTAACACTATAGCCAACAACAACTTGGACAGGAACTTCAAACACTATCTGCAACACCCTGCTACTAACATTCAAGCTAAGGTTGTCTTCTATCCTGATCATATTCCTGCCTCCCTCAATATTTTTACAGATGGCTCCAGGTCCGATAAAGGGGTTGGGTGTTCTTTTGTGATTGGAGACAGCAAAGAGAAAATCTTTAAACAAGCCTACTACAAATTAGATGACAATTGCTCCAACAATCAAGCAGAGTCGCTTGCTATTCTGAAAGCTCTGGAATATACTCAGTCTCTCCAGAATATCATCAAATGCAGAAGCATCAACATCTTCACAGATAGCCGGGTGACCCTTCACCAGATTAAAAACAAGAACACTCTTCTTCCGATTATTAATGACATTCTTGGGCTTCTCCAAAATCTGCAATGTTCAAAGGATATTAACTTCTATTGGGTGAAGGGCCACTCTGGTTGTCCTGGAAATGAGCGGGCAGACCTGCTTGCTAAGGTAGCCCCTTCGAGGCTTAAGGACATTTCCTTCTCCTCTATCCCTGTGTCATGGGTTTCCAGCGCCCTAATGCTTTACGTTAACAGCAAATGGCAAAGTGAGTGGGATACTTCTGTCACGGGTAGGTGGACGTACAAGCTCATCCCCAGGGTGGACAGGCCGAACCCTACACACTTCAACCCTAACTTCTACATGACACAATTCATGACCGGGCATGGAAACTTCAACTACTACCTTGCAAGATTTTTAAAGAAGGGTGACGGGAAATGCAGCAGCTGCCCACTGGAGGATGAGACCCCAGAACATCTCCTCTACCATTGCGAGGGCACGGAGGAAAAAAGGATGGAACTCATATCCACCATTCTAAAAAACAACGACACTTGGCCTTGTAACCCGAGCCTCCTCATCAGTAATAATCTCTATTACAAAGCCTTTGCAAACTTTGTGACAAGGCTCATCTCCAGCAGATCGACTCACCATTAAGTGGACTATACCAATAGGACTATCTTAGCTGTGTTATTTTGCCGCTGGTAGAGGGCCCTACAGGCCTCCCTTCCCTTCGCCGTTCAGCTGTGTAAAACCACGCTGTGTGGTTCGTTATCTTCTGTATATATTTGTCGCGCAATCTCTTGTACACTCATTCACCAATTATGTGCTTTCCTATGCACGGGCCCCTTTACTTTTATCGCTTTTACGCTCAGCAATTGACGCCCTGCAATGGCGCACTTGTAATCTACATTCTTCCTCTTTCTCTTCCCCGTCTTCCCCCCCCTCTTTCTTCAATCCCCCCTTATTTCCTTCCTTCCTCTCCCTCGCTGGCTATGCCTTTCGGTGCGGCCAGGATCTATCAACTAACTAACTATAACACAGTAATTCCCGTTCCCATAAGGTATGTTATAACAAAGTTACACTGTATTTTGTTGTTTTTACTTTTGCAGCTGTTATAACATAACATGGGTAAGTATTGTAATTATATCATATTTGATACTCCATGTTTTTGCAGTAAAAAAGTAAAAAAAAACCTAAAAAAGTAAAAAAAAAAATTTCCAGGATGGATATATTGGCATCTAGTTCATTTAATATCTCAGAATTGGGTAAAGATTAAGTAAGGAAATTTGGCATAATAACTTTTATATAAAGAGCATTGATGCTATTAAATTTTGGAATATGGAACTTGAGGGTATGATTGTATACCTATAAATTCCCTCTGTCATCTGTCCTTCCTTAATCTTGAGAATAGAGTTAGATAGATGAAAGACGAGACCAGATATGGAAACTTTAGGTGAAGGAGGCCTCGATTAACTATATATATGAACTTCTGATGCAAACCAGAAGTCACATTATTTTAATTCAAAAATTTTCCCCTGAAAGAATGTTAGATAGATGTCTGACACTACTCTATTGTTAAAGGAAAAGTATGATATACAGGGACAAGTCACTACTAATTTGAAGTGTTGAGAATGTATTTTAAGTTAAATAAATTAGAAATATGATTAAAAATTGGAGCCTGGCATTGTGACGATGTTGCAATAAATAATTGCTTGTTGGCATTTACAATATTTTTTGTCATACTATGATATAAAATTTAAGTAATAACTGAAAATTATTTGGACTTCCTAATAGCTCCATTAACCTCTTGTTGAACAAGTTGGGAAAGTTGAACAAGAGCCTTTGCCAGCTTTTCTCTTAAATACATTCTAGAAAATTTCTTTATTGAATACATCTTTTGTTTTGAAATGTTATTTAAATACTTTGTTGTCATACATTTGAAGTAAAATAGCTAGAAAAATAAGCAGGGATTAGATACAGGCCTAGTACAGCATGAAAATAATATTCTAGAGACAGAAGGTGAGCTGATTTTACAAAATAGTTTTGTAGAATTTGCAGAGTTTCAAACTGAAACAAAGTGATTCGTGAAATATTTTGGATCTTTCCAGCACCTATGAAATCCGATATCTTCCAATAACATAACATACTTAGATAATGAATCAGTAAACAGACAAAAAAGTTCCACTAAATTGTTGGACTTGGTTGAAAGTTGTGGTGTATGACCATTGTGGAACAAAGATTCATTGACACACAGGATGGATTAATGAGAGATTTTAGTGAACATATACAGATGTTAATAATAAGCAACAACATTAATGAAACCATGCAACTCAGTTAATTTAACTGTAATAAGATTTAAGATTATAATGTAACACAATTTCAAATTTTTCCAATTTATACATATTGTGAGAACCTGGGCTAGTGCAAATTATTTAATTAGTAAAAACCCAATTTAAATTTATACTTTTGTTTTGTTAAAAACCCATAAAGGAGAAAAGTTCCATGTCATAAATACAATCAAGGAACTTTATAAATTTTTCCCACAGATAGCACTTTTTCCGTGTGACACAACTTCTGAATAGGTAACTAGAAACAAAATCATGGATTGGAGCAATTGACAACTTCACCAAAAATGAGCATTAGAATTCCTGGGGAAGGACCCTGAATAAAAGGAAAAAAGACAGATGATGAAGAGAGTTCACCTATCAAAATTTGTGTGTGCTTATCCCTGCCATGCTTGACCTCCTGCCACTTTCATTGGACCCTAGCTGCTCCGAACTAATGATCAATCAATCAAAATCCACTGTGAATATTACTATTACAGTCTTTTGAATTCAAGACCTATCAAAACAAGCAGGAGATTTTGGATTCCTGGATCGAAGGAGTTGGTTTTAGACATCCTGAAGGATGTCTAAAACCAACTCTCACCAATCCAGATATTTACTGACATGTGTCCAAATTTGTAAATGAGAATATTATAGACTCTTATAGAATAATTCTTCCATTTATGTTACATTTGTAAATTAGCAATGACCTTTAGAAATAAATTGTTTTTTCATGTTTCGTTGCATAGTGGAGTGCATTATTTCTGGATCTCCCTGTCTCTCTAACTTTCCCTCCTCCATCTGCCCACATTCATCCCCATATGTAGTGGCTCATGCATGTTCCACAAACATGCTGAAAAATACAATCTGAAAAATACAATCAAAGAAAAGGTTTCTGTGTTTGCCAGAAAAACAAACACAGTGTCACAGGCATAATAGGGGGCACTTCTCAGATTCCATAATATTTTCAAAATCATCTTTGATAAATTTAGTAAATAAGGAATCATTCAAGTGTTACATCAGTAAAAACTTTCCTTTTTTTCAATCCCTCCTCCCCATAAACTGCTGAGATAATATTTGAATGGTTCCTAATCTAGCAAATAGTGTTTCCCATTACAGATATTCATTTCTATCCACAATAAAAATAAAATGAATAAAAAAATAGTATATTTGAAAGTCAATATTTATAATCCAATGTGTATTTAATTGTATTTCAGATAAATTTAACAATGTTTATTTTATTTCTATAAAACTTGGCAGTGCCTGGAAAAAATTAATATATTTATTAAGCAAAAATATCAATTATTGCTTTAATAAGTTTTGTAACTGGAGAATGTGTATTATACCATGCTGTTCTTGAAATGTGTGATGGTTCAAATGTTTGTAATTTGTTTTTTCCTCACATCATGGCAATGAGTGCCAGTATGCATAAATAATTGATTAAAAATAACAAAGAAATTTAAATTATGAATTTTTTCATATAATATTTAAGTATTCTGTATTTTAAATAATAAAATTGCAGTTAAACTTGCCTTTTTTTAAATAACTTTTACAAAATACCTTTCTCTTTAGTTAGTATTTCCATTTCCTTTGCAACTTGGTCTGACCATGAAGCAACAGCAACATGAAGACCATAATCACAACAAACTTTCTCATCAGCCCAACCTCTCCATTTTTTGTAGCTATCCAACAAAGAAGCATCCTTCTCTGCTACAAAATCCACTATAAAAATCAAAATGATATTAAAAATTATAATTTTATATGCATTATTTTTAATNATTTTTTTCCCACATTTAACTTTTAAAATATTTTGAATATTTTATATGTATTATAATATATATTATAATTATAGCTACATAATTACAGTTGAGTTTATTAACTAAAATTCATTTTGAAGTAAAAGTGTGTTCATTCTTGTCTATTTTACATCTGTAATAATTAGTTGCATAATAACAATGTGAACTATCCAGTTAGAACAGTTTATATAAATTAAAAATTATAATTTTATATGCATTATTTTTAATGGATCCAAAAATAATAAGTTAAAGAACAAAATCAATTTTAATGTGTAAAGCATGAAAACTTGATTCAAAGCAAACATACTAATCATAGTAGTGCCTCCTGCCAATGCTGCTCGTGTTCCAGAATAAAAATCATCAATAGTTACTGATCCCATAAATGGGAACTGGAAATGAGTATGAGGATCAATACCCCCTATTTAATTCACATAAATTATTAATTTAGTAAAAATAACATATATATAATATATATATATAAGTAATAACAATATGTAACTTTAATTTTTAAAAATTCTATTTACATTATTTAGATAAAAAGTTTTAATAAAATATTCATTCTAATAGGCTGATATTGTTTCTATATAACNTACAACTACAAAATTGCATTTTTCAGTGTTTTCCTTACTATAGTTATTTTTTTTAAATGTATTACTTAGCTTTAATTTGAGTGTGTTTTTCGTGTTGGAATGAATTATTTGGTTTTACATGTAATCGTATGGGGAAAAATGATTCACCTTATGACATTTTCATGATATGATCTTAGTGTCAGAACGGATTAATTTCGTATCCTGAGGTACCACTGTATTTGCTCTAACAATCAAGATAAATGACTTGATTATTAGAACTAAAAATGATGTAAAATATTAAAAAACTATTAGAAAAATGAAAAAGAAAAGCTGGTAAAATGGTTAGAGATTGACATGTTTTTTAATTACTATAACTATATATGCCAAAGTCATATAAACTTTGTCATTGTGTATGGCATGAAAACATATAAATGTTTATTTACCTTGTTTTCTCTTTTCCAAAATAATGTCTGCAGATGTTTTACTCATGACATGAACAACATACAAGATGTAACAAAATTATTCTAAAGGTGCAAACCTACAT